CAGGCCCTGAGCTCATTTACCAGAACTGTCACAAAAATAAATAAAGTTAAAAACAACTATGTGCTCTCTGGACAAGGAGGCCTCTGGAATCTGACAGATGAACAAAGTTGCTGGTAGAGGGCTGGCAGGAGGTTACTCTGCCTGTAGTATAAGCCACAGGCTTATGAGTAGCATGCACATATATATGATCTCAGCAGTCCTCAAAGGCAATTATCTTGTGTTTCAAGCAAAGACATGTTCCTTAAATGTCTATAAATTTGGTCAGAGGTAGTTGCCTACTAAATGCCAAGTTTCAGTGAAAGAAAACTGGTTTGGAGAGCACCTATTCAACCCCTAACCTATTCATTTGGTTAGGTCAAAGATGTGTTTTTCTTCAAATGTGTGTGAGTTCACCTGAACACCAGTCCATGGACAGTTAGCCATGTAAATACAACAAAACGATGGCAAAAATCCACAAAGCTTAGTTTTTTAGTTTTAGTGTCTTTCTGATTCAGTTAAGTTAGTGGGCCTAGTTGCCTCTATATTATCATTATTTTTATTACTTGCTAGATTACTTTAGATTATTTAATAAGAAGCTTATTTATACTATCTTCTTAGCATCAGCATCAGAAAAGAACCATAACCTTTCCCCTTTTTCCTTTCCAAGCAATGAATTCCTCTCTAAACAAAAGAAACAGCACAATAGCAGTTCTCAAATAGTAGAGAACCAGACTTAAGCAAAAAACCTAAAGGACAGTGCCTCGGCCTTGAGTTCAGGCCCCAGCACAGGCACATACAAAAAGGCATAGCTTTTCATATTATCCTATGACACTGTAGCACATAAGACAGCCAGAAGCACACTTGAAAGAACAGAAATGGAATAAAAAGGCACTAGTGGGAACTGGCAGGACATGGGAAGCTTCGAGGTAGGAAATGGCATAGGACCTGCTGTATGCATTGGGCTCGGAGCCAAGCAGAGCCATTGAAAACATGAGATGGACAAAAGCAAGATTTTAAGGCCTACTAAAATCATAGCATTTAACTTTGTAATCCCAGTCACCACCCACCTGCTGTGTGATTTTGCCCAAGTCACTTTCTGCATCTCCAAATTTCAATTTGTTAGGTATGAAATTGGGTCAATAAAGTCTACTCTGAGACCAGGTGCTGGTGGCTTATGCCTGTAATCCTAGATACTCAGGCTGAGATCTGAAAGTTGAGGGGTTTGGTTTTTTTTCTTTCTGTCAGTTGTGGGGCTTGAACTCTGGGACTGGGTACTCCCTGAGCTCTTCAGCTCAAGGGTAGCACTCTACCACTTGAGCCACAGTAGGACTTCTGGTTTTCTAGTGGTTTATTGGAGATAAGAGTCTCATGCACTTTCCTCCCTGGGCTGGCTTTGAACTGTGATCCTCAGATCTCAGACTTCTGAGTAGCTAGGATTGCAGGCGTGAGCCACTGGTACCTGGCTGAATTTTGAGGTTTGAAGCCAACCCAAGTAGACAAATCTGAGAAACTCTATCTCCAATTAACCAGTAATAAGCTGGAACTTAAGTGGTAGAGTGCCAGAAGTGAATGAAAAAGCTCAGAATGGGATGTACAGCACACACACACACACACACACACACACACACACACACACACACACACACACCAAAATAACACCAAATTTACCCTGCCTCCCATCAATAAGCACAGTATGATTGAGGAACAAAATAGAAAAACAATTTTCAAGAAGATTTTGTAGGCTGACCTTGGAAGATCTGGAAACTTCCTAACATATAGAGATCTTCATGGTCCCCCTCCATTCAACTTAAAAAAAAAAATCATCCATTAGGAAGAATGATATTAGGTCATTTACAGGGAAATGGATGGACTTGAAAAAAACATGCTAATGAAGTAAGACAGTCTCAGAGCTGTGCACTGACTCACACCGATAATCCTAGCTACCCAGGAAGGTGAGATCTGAGGACCACAGTTCAAAGACAGCCCAAACAGGATTATTCTTGAGACTCTTATCTTTAATTCACTATCAAAAAAGACTGGCGCTGTGGCTTAAATGGTAGAGCACTAGCCTTGAGCAAATAAAAGCTCGGGGATAGCACTCAGACCCTGAGTTCATGTCCCAGGACTGACTGGCACCAAAAGAAAGTAAGTCTCAGAGAGACAAAGGGCATATATTTTCTCTCATTTGTGGAAATTAGATCTTAATTATAAGCATATACGAAAACATCTACAGGGTCATATGCATATATACACCAACAAATCAATTAAAGTATGGTACACACAGAAGAGGGTTCCAATGGTCTAACTCCTTTTAACAACTTACCTACAGTTCAACAAAATGAAGTTGAACATGTGTTGTCCAGAGGGGCAGGGGGGCAGGGGGAGGGGGCAGAAGAATAGAGAGAGGAAGAGTGGGAGAATGCAGTCTCATTGAGCACATATATAAAAATGGAACCAAGTAAATGGAGGAAATGAGTAGGGTTGGGAGACATGGGGGAGAGTGGGGGAAGGGATGACTTTGTTCAGGATGTACTCATCAAGTGACGTATTGGATTGAAAACTCTTTGTACACCTACTTAAAGATCATTAAAAATTAATTTTTAAAAAGACCAGTGGTGGAGGAGAATCTCATATTCTGAACATTATTTTGAATGGAAGCACCTTATTGTCTCCCATTTATTTATGTGGGTACTAACCTTATTTTTACCTTCCTCTCTGTGGGCAATGAGGGAATTTGTGGACATGCAGACCTTTGGAGATGAGAAGACATTAGAGTAATGTAGCACCTCCCTCCCTCCTTCAAAAAATAAAGCCCTTTTCAGCACTCTTGTTAGATCACTGGTATCCAACCCTTGGCATACATAATACCCTAGCAGAGCATTTGTCACACCCTGCCCAGGCCCAGTAAGTGTATCGAACAATTAAAAGCCCGTCCTTCTTGATCCTCTCCCATACACTTGACTCTCAGCAAGACTCCCACAGCAAACACAGAGATAGTACACGATTCTTCTACTCACTGACAGAATGGTTTGGGGTGGATTAATCTTTTGTACCTCGGGTTCCTCCCCTGTGATATTGATAATGGTACCCACTTTGTGGGGATATTATGAAGATTAAATAAGTGAATAAATGTATACTTAGGGTAACATCTGGCAGATACTGAGCACTGGCAGATAATTGTGTAGTAGGATAACATCTGCTATTATCATTACTGAGACATGGATGCTGCTGTCCTTTGACATAACATCATTTCACTATGATACACTTATGCGATAGCATTAGTGTTATGATCACTTGGCTAAGAGTGAGTAGAGTGGAGAAATACCTTCTGTGATCTGTTAAGTGGCTCACATGGGTGAATATATGTATTCTAAGCCCAGTCTCCAACAGATGGAAGGCCCTTGCATAGGTGTGGCCTAAGGTCTGAGAATCACTTGAAACCAGCTTGAGGCAGACAAATCCATGAGAATCTTACCTCCTACTAACCAGGAAAAGCTCAAGTGGTAGAGTGCTAGCCCTAAATGAAAACCTGAGGGACAGTGTCCAGGTCTTGAGTTCATTTACCAGGGCCACCTCTGGACCAAGGGATAAAGTCTACTTGTTCCATTCATTCCCTCATCAGTCATGGACCACTTCGTGTTGTTAAGAAATGAGAATGGGGGCTGGGCTGGTGGCTCAGTGGTAGAGTGCTTGCCTTGCATGCATGAGGCCCTGGTTTCGATTCCTTAACACCACATAAGCAGAAAAAAAGCCTTGAGCTGAAGAGCTGAGGGACAGCATCCAGGCCCAGAATTCAGGCCCCACAACCAAAAGCAAAAAAAAAAAAAAAAAAAAAAGAGGAGGAGGAAGAAGTGAAGGAGGAAAGGAATGGATGTTGGCTTTGTTCTTGGACTGTAGAGGATTTTTTATTTTTAACTCAACTCTCATTGGCTTTTTCATTCAAGGCTGGTGCTCTACAACTTGAACCACAGTTCCACCACTGGCTTTTTTTGGTCTGATTAATTGGAGATGCAAGTCTCATAAATTTGTTTACTTTAGTTAGCTTTGAACTGGGATCCTCAGATCTTGGCCTCCTAAGTAGCTAGTATTACAGGCGTGAGCCACTGGTGCCTAGCTTATAGAGGATTCTTAATTTGGAAATGTTACCTTAGGAATTGGACGAGGCCATTTCTGTTCTCCTAGAAAACAGAAAGGGAAATTGAGGGTTTTCTTTGTTGTTGTTTTTTTGTCGGTCATGAGGCTTGAACTCTGGGCCTGGGCGCTGTCCCTCAGCTCTTCAGGTGAAGGCAAGTGCTCTACCGTTTGAGCCACAGTGCCACTTCCAGTTTCTCTAGGGGTTTTAATGGAGATAAGAGTCTCATGGACTTTCCTGTCTGGGCTGGCTTTGAACTGTGATCCTCTGGTATCAGCCTTCTGAGTAGCTAGGATTTTACAGGCATGAGCTACTGGTGCCCAGCTTAATTGAGTTGTTTTTTTTTTTTAAAGCCTTTTGTGTATCTATCTGGTAGACACTTTGATATCTCTATTTCACCAAGTTCTCCCCCAGCAACCATAGGTTCTAAGTGTTGTTTGTATGTTTTTGTTTTGTCAGTGGTAAGGTTGAACTCAGGGCTGTGCTGGCTAAGCAGGCTTCCTCTTGAGCCACACCCAAGCCCTGTATTAAATGCTTTAGGGTGAAAAAAAAAAAAAAACGGGGTCTTTGAGTGCTTTAGAATCTTGTTCCAGGTCATGAATGAGGTGGAGATGCAAAGCCCTCCTCTCAGGAGAAAAAAAAAAAAAAAAGCTTGGAATCTGGAGATACACAAGGCCTGCTGGTGTGCTCAGTTCCTGTTTACTTAAGAGGCTGGGTGCAAGATAAATATTTAGGCAATGCTTGGAGAAGAAAGAGTCAGCTGTAGGCACACTTGGCTAAAACCAACACAGGCAATACAGAGTATTTAAATAGGCCTGGGCTGACCCCAGAAGACAACCCCAAGCCTGTGTAGATTGATCTTCAATAGAAGCTTTACAGTCTTATTTACCTTGACTGAGAAATGCGTGGAGGAATTTCCTCCATGTCGGGAACCGTTTCCCATTGACTGGCTGTGCGTGCTGTGCTAAAACGCCCGCTAGCTCCTCGGAGATCTTCAGCAAAGCTGGCTCCTGCAGAAACAAATTAAATAGAACCACAAGCAATTTTACTACAGAAATGAAAACTGCTTGTGGAGTGATTAAAAACCAGGCCTCCAACAGGCAAAAAAAATGTGGTTACTGTTTACCCAGAGTCAGAAAGCCATTTTGAACATTTTTCTCTATTTTTCCAACCATTTTCAGTGTTCATATTTCCAAGTCATTTTTGGCCTACTTAAAAAAAATGGTTGCTAACTATATCTTTTGTCTCCAAAAGCCTTCATCTGTCTGGGTGTCTGGAAACCCAGGTTTCAGATCTACTGCATACAGACCAGTGGAGTGTCCTTGAAAAATGTACTAAAATGGCCTCAGTTTCCCATTATGTAAAATGTAGGACTAACTGGCTTGTGCCTAAGATCCTTGGGATATATATTTTTTTTTGGGGGGGGGGGTCTGGTTGTGGGGCCTGAACTCTGGGCCTGGGCTCTGTCTCTCAGCTCTTCAGCTCAAGGCTAGTGCTCTACCACTTGAGCCACAGCGCCACTTCTGGCTTTTTTTTTTTCTTTTTGCTTATGGGGTGCTGAGGAATCGAACCCAGGGCCTCATGCATGTAAGGCAAGCGCTCTACCACTGAGCCACCTTCCCAGCCCCTGGGATATTTGTTTTTTAATCCTATGACTCTAATTGTTGATCCTAGGAGAAATAATGGAGTTGATAAAATCTTGCTTTGGCACTTTAGTCTGTGTCTTATTTGTTGGTAGATATCTGCATATCATTCACATATATTTGTTGGTAGATATCTGCATATTTGTCATGGGAACCTAAACTAAGGACTATGGAATTTTAGGTGAAGTGAACTGTTGAAGCCAGACTCAATATCTTGAATATCTCCCTAGGCTCCTTATCATGAGCGAAGTAACCCATGGGGTGAGACTCCTGTCAGAACTGAAAGATGAGGAAATTCCCTAGTGAGAGACAAATCTGGTCATTCATATAAAACATCTTGGTTTCCTAGAAAAAAAAATATTTTTTTTGAGCTGGGCACCAGTGTCTCATGTCTGTAATCCTAGCTATTCAGGAGGCTGAGAATCTGAAGATCATGGACAGCACAGGCAGGAAATTCCATGAGACTCTTTATTTTCAATAAACCAGCAAAAAAGCTGGAAGTAGAAATGTGGCTAAAATGGTAGAGCACTACCTTGAGCAGAAAAAGGTCTAGGACAGTGCTTGGGCCCTGAGTTCAAGCCCCAGGACCAGTAACAAAACATTGTTTTTGGATGTCATACATTATAATGTTCTTCTTCAAGAGTTTTCAAATAGAAAACATATTTCAGTTGTTACTTCTGCCAGATGTGGGATAGGGCATTAGTTAGATAGTATTCACACTCAAAACAGAGACCCTGGCAAGGGATGCTCAGACTTGCCTTGGGTGGCAGGGGAACTTCTGAATCCAAGAGTGAATTTGTAGGAATGGGCTTTGGCAGTGGGGTTGGTTGTAATTTTTGAAATCATCTACATCTCATTTATTTCTAATTTCCCTAACATTAAAAAGTGATTGTCCTCTTTCTTTCCCTACCCCTCCTCCCTCTACCAGCTCCTTGGAACATCTGTTTGATTGTGGGTACAATGCCCACTGCCAATGCATAATAAAAAAAATAATAGATATCTCAGAGTACACAGCTAAGCAGTCCAATCAATAATTTCTGAAATATCCAGCAAGTCCTGGTAGAAGGGAGGATTTCATTAGTTAGTTTAGTAAATTCTTTTTTTTTTTTTGGCCAGTCGTGGGGCCAGAACTCTGGGCCTGGGCGCTGTCCCTCAGCTCTTCAGCTCAAGGCTAGCACTCTACCACTTGAGTTACAGCGCCACTTCTGGCTTTTTCTGCTTATGTGGTGCTGAGGAATAGAACCCAGGGTGTCATACATGCAAGACAAGCACTCAACCACTGAACCATCTTCCCAGTCCCGAGTTTAGTAAATTCTTGACAAGCATCACAGAAATGGAGGAGCACGCCCTGGCCCACCTTTGGTTCAGCGGGATCAGGCTGTCTCCTCTGCACAGAGTGGAGAGGCATGCTAAGGAGGACTGGGGAAGCCAGTTCATCCAGCAAGTCCCCCTCTGCCTTGCAGTGTGGAGGCAAGCAGGATCACTGTCAGAGTAACAGGCTTTCCTTCCCTTTGTATCCTGCACACTGCACATCTTTGCTCTGATCTTTATGGATACGACCTGACCTCCTCCAATGCCCTGCATCTAAATCACATACAGGCACATGCAATGAGCAATTCGAACAGTCTAGGACCCTCCTTGTAACAACTTAGAGCAGTTCTTCATTTCCTATGTGTCAGATAAAACCAGTCTACTCTAGGGACTTTACCAGTCTACTCTCAGGGTTGCTGGCCAACCCTGATTCATGAAATACCCCAGAGTGGGATTTTTTTTTTTTTTGCTCTGCCTTGATGAAAGACCTTTACTGCCTCATTTCTGAAAGTGTGAAACCATCTATCCCGTCATATGATTATTGTTATGCGGCCATTTAAATAACTGCATTAGAGAATAAAGTGTCTATTTTGGGGAAATTATTTCTGGGAAGGGAGGAGATGGAGAAGAAGTAATGAAAGAAGTCAAAGCCCTATTACCTAAATCCTGAAACTAGCTCTCCGTCTTGAGGATCAAGCGTTAACTCCTCAATACTACTACTGAAGGCCTCTGTGACCTGGCCTCTACTCCTACAGTAGTCCTACCTCTCCTTCCGCAGCTCCAGCCTCCTGCAAACTGCCTTCCTCCTTTCTCCCTTAGCTGACTCCTCAACCCTTTCTAAGGTAGTTCTAACCACATCTCCTCCAGGAAGCATTCTGTGCTGACCCCCCTTCCCTCACTCTCAAAGTGGGGGAATTGTGTGAATACTGTCTTGGCAAAGATATTGGCTTTAAGGTCAGACTCCTGAATGCCCAGCACAGAGAAGATACTATTTGGGGACAAATCACAATGGTGGTAAATACAGGAACAAAGTCCTTAACAGCTGCAGTTACAGAGTAAGAGAAAATATGAACCTCTTAACAGGCTCATTCGTTGTTGCCCAGGACAAAGTATTCCTGGACGGATTGTATGGGATTTTTCTACTTCTGAGGGCATCAGTTAGATGAATGAGGGGACATTTCTGAAGTACCACCTCAGAGGCAATATGCTATGTGAGGGCCAATTTTAAACTCGTAAGGCTGTGGCTTGTGTGAGGCATCTGGACAGGATGCCAGGTGTGCCAGCTCAGCCTCTGCTTACAAAGTGAGCCGTTTCCAACTTAATGCTTAACATGTGTACTGTGCACAAAGACACAGCAAGGGAGTAGATTCCTAGGGGAAAGTCTGCAGCAGGAATGTGGGGTGGAGGGGTTCATCATGGCCCACTGTGAGAAGTACACAGCTGAAGGCCCTGGCAGGGTGACACCAGTGTGTGATGCTGCAGTCCACAGGGGCAGCTTGGGGCCATGATTAGCTCTCTAAGAAAAAGACGTGGAGAGGAGTAAAAGCAGTGGGAGTGGATGGTACTCACTGTTTAATTCATTTCTTTATTTGAAAGCATCTCTGATGGGGAATACAGAGATTGTACTGAGGAATAGCCTTAGTACCAAGGAAAAAAACTGATCTCACACCTTGACAAAATAATAATCATAAATATCCGCAGCATTCAAGTAAGGAGATGTGTACATATGTAATATGATGTCTTATAAGTCGGAAATAGGGGGGCATCCTTCCTATCTTACAGATGTGTGAGATGGGTAGTTAGGAGTTATTTTCAGTGAGTAATGTCACATTGATGGACAATTATGTCTGTTTCAGAGAACCTTTCATCTACTTGAGCACATCACTTATGGTCAGTGATCTAGAGAGTGTGGAGTATGGAAAGAGGGAAAATTATATATATATAATAGAAATACATATAGTATTTATTATTATATTATATATAACAATCATTATATTACTACTACATCATGGCATTATATACAAATCATGTTAATATATTATATTATTTATATATTATATATGATATATATTAATTATATATAAATCAGTCCCTTATGAATAACAAATAAGTGGTGTAAAACTACATTTTTCCCTTGTGTGTGTGTATATGTGCTAGTATTAGGGCTAGAACTCAGGGCCTGGGAGCTGTCTCTGAGCTTTTTCACTACAGGCTGGTACTTTACCACTTGAGCCACAAATCCAGTTCTGGCTGCTTTTTGCTTGAACTATGCTTTGAACTGTGATCCTCAGATCTCAGCTTTCTGAGTAGCTAGGATTATAGGTGTGCGCCATTGGTGCCCAGCTACACTAAAATAATTTATTATCTCATGGCCACTAGCTAAAGTAGGTATTGTCATCTTAATTTCAGTCACATGGCTAGTATGTAGAAAAACTTGGGTTCAAATCTAGTTGTAACCAGTAACTGTGCCATCCATGGGCATGAAATAGCCAATCTGGGTCAGATTAGATCGTTCACAGAGGATGCTAAATCTGAACTGTTATAAAACAAAAGGTAGGGTGGACGTCTTTTGTTGGCTTCGCAGTGTCAATGGCTCTTCTTCAGGGCAATACTATTCCAAACCTCCTTTCAGGAATTACCCCTCCAATTACTCTTTGCTATTGAAGATGACCTAGAAGTATTCCACCCTCACTTTCCAAGATGAGCCCCTGACTAGTAAAGCCATGAACCACTGAGGTCAATAAAATGTTACAAAGCACATAGTAGGGCCTCTGGGGGCTGGGGTACCTGTGGGAGAGCAGCATGCTCTTCTCTTACTATTGCCTTGACCAAGGGAAAACTCTAGGAATAACTTGGCAGCCATGCTATAAGCCTGTGGCTAGCTAGCCTTAGGTTGAGCCATCCTCATGCATAGCAAAGATGGAAAGAAACCAGGTACATCATTGAGTTACTGGATTAAGCTTGTTTGAAGCCAGAACAATCTTTAGATTTTCAGATACCTGAGACAGTAAGTGCTTTCTCCTCCCCCTCCCCCTTCCTTCCTTTTATTCTTTCTT